CGCGCCTAGGGCCGCTTTGGGCCACGCCCGGCCACTTGCCGCCGCTCGATGCCTGCCCTTGTCCATACGCAAAAGGTAATGCACGCGGGGTCTCGCTCGTGGGGGAGTGAGCGATGCGGCCTGGCCTGCGCGCCATAAGGCCCTCCGCGCTCATCGAGCATGCGGCCTGCCGCACTCGGCCTAGCTAGAGCACCATGCGGCCCTTCCACGCTCACATTGCATGTGGACTTTGTTTTTTTTCTTATTCTTTTTATTATTTAGTTTTTGTTTTATGTGAGTTTTTAGTACTCATTTCATATCTTACATTTTTATCCTTCTTTTATTTATTATGTTTCAGTTATTATTTTTTATATCTACTTTAGTTTTCAGTATGTATTTGTCATTAACAGTTCATTTTTTTCGGTTGTCTGGTTGCCAATTTCAGTTCATCAGTTCAGATATTTTTATTGTTTCTTTTAGTTTTAGTTAATGTGTTATGATTTTTTTCCATTTTTTTATTTTCAGTTTTCAGTCAAAAATTTTTTGGGTGCTTTTTTAGTTTCATTTTTTAGTAAGTTTTTCTTATTGTTTTTTTAGTTTCAATTTTCAGTCATCCTTTTAGGTTCGAATGGCTTCTTACCCTACAATATATAAGTTGTCATAAAAGGATAACCATTACACACATAAGTTGTCATAAAAGGAAAGCATTCTCTTGTTTTGGAATGCTACTCTCTTAATAAATACCCTTGAGTTGGTAGCTGGTCACAGCTCCTGCATTGGGTTGCATAATACTCCGTGCCCAGTTAGCAGTTTATGCACTATTATACAACAATTTTATTTTATTTCATAAAACAACCGATGTACATACTATGAAGCAACTTTAGTATATTTTTGTAATAGCAACTTTAGTATTACATGGTAGCGACTTCTTATTCTTAATAAATCTCGTAGCATATATTTATATATAAATTGTTACTAGAATTAAATTTTTAAAATATATGCAAGTGAGATCTAATTTTGTTCATCTCGTCACGCAAAATACACGGAATTGAAAATAGATAAATAGTTCAAGAGTTATAATAATTTAAAATAATGTTTTGCTTTTTTATAGGCTGTGTCAGGATGACGTAACACGGATAGCGACCTTTGCAAGTTGCATGCAGGGGAGGGGAGGGACTTCGGTCGAGCGCATGGCCGCATGCAGTGGGTCCTGTGTCGAGCGCTTGATGGTGTGTCGGGCAGGCACGCGACCTGTCGCGCTTTATCCCACTCCCTTGTCCGTAAGGGTAGCTCTAGGTCTTAAGCCTTCCAGCGGTTTGGAGATATAACGGGGTAAAATAAAAACTCCACCGATGAAGTCCCTAAAACGATATTTTCACGGAGCTTTGGTGTGGGAAGGAGCCAAAAATAAAAATTAAATTGGCTCCATAATCAGTCTCACTGAGGTTTAATTTTTGCCAAAGGTTTAACAAAACCTATTATTAGTGTATGTGGAGCTGTTATAGCACCATATTAAAAAATGACTTCAATTAGTGCTTAAAAGATTCGTCTCGTAAAATAGGGGCCTAAATGCAATTAGTTATCACGCATTTATATTTTATAGAAAGATATTTTAAACAGTGTTAGGATACTAATAAAAAATTAAATTACAGAAGAAGTCCGTGAGACAAATTTGCAAAATTTTAATTGTGTTTATTATTAGAAGTTGGAATTTGGGGCGTTTCTTGAAGTACGTTCGTTTTTATTTGGCAACATTGTTAAATTATGGACTAATTAGGTTTAAAAGATTCGTCTTGTAAAATAGTCGCAATATGTGCAATTAGTTATTTTTTAGTTTATATTTAATACTCTACATATATGTCTAAATATTCGATACGATAGGGTATAAACTTTTGGAAGAAAGTAGAGAAGACCTCGGTGTGCAATCGAATTTCCCCTGCAAAACTTTTAGTGTGAGTCTAAAATGACCACAGTGTAGAGTTCGATTTGTGGTAACAGCGCCAGCTAAAAAAGTATTTGTTTCACCCTGGGTCTGTCGATGTGTGGCTTGGCTTGACTCTCTGAAGGCTTTGTGTCAGATGCCGCCGTACCTTCTTCGCAACAATGGTTTTGACTTGTTTAGTTCCTCTTCTGAACTTTACTCTCCATCGCATTGGATGTTTAATATATGTGTAGAATATTAAATATAGATTAAAAATAACTAATTATATATATTATGATTAATTTGTGAAACGAATTTTTTAAATCTAATTAATTTATGATTTGACAATGTGATGCTACAGTAACTGTGTGCTGATTATGAATTAATTAGACTTAATAAATTCGTCTCGTGGATTACTAAAGACTTGTATAATTTATTTTATTATTACTATTTAAATAATCCATGTGATATCCCAATATAACACGACATTTTAGTTCCTGTATTTAAACACCGCCTGTGGTTCGACGCACATGCAAGATGCGATTTTCATTATGACAACCATGGTTCGCACACTGCAGCGTTGTTGGTTCGGTTTACCCTGCCCACGGTTCGCTTTTTGAACAGGTGCTCTTAGCTCCAGTGTGAAAATCGATTTTGCGCTGCAAATTTACTGTAGTGGCAGAAGATGCGGTGCACGCACTGTGGTGTTCGATATATAGGCCCCACCACTCCACTAAGGCAGGAAGAAAAACAAGGAAAAAAGTCGTTTCTCCCTCTACCTGTCTGATTTAGCTTGGCTGACACGCGCCGCATGCTGCAGTAGGGCCTCGTTTAGATTGTAAATTTTTGTAATGTGATGGAGAAGACGCTTCTTAGAATTTTGACAAACTAAACAAGGCCCCAGTGTGAAAATCGGCTCAAAAGCTGCAAATTTACTGATTGGCAGAAGATGCGGTGTACGTAGTTATTTTTTTACATCATTTAATGGCTCCACCACACCACTCCAAAAGGCAGGAAAAAAACAAGTGAAAAATTTGGAATTTTGAGACAATCTCTACGTGTCTGTTTTTTATCTTGGCATGGTTCGACTCATCTGCAACATGCGCTTTTCAATCTGACAGATACGGTTCGATCTGCAACAATGTGCATGGTTCGCTTTTTCATTCCCATGGTTCGATTTCACGATACACCTGGAGGTGCTCATGCAACACTGGCCAGCACAGCAGAGAAGCCTCCCACCGGCGGACATCAGCCCATGCGCCTCCCCTGCCGATTGTTGCCTGTTCGAGGACCAGATCGTCTTCACCAGCTTCTAATCTATCGGTTTTCGTTCCTCCATCGCCTTCTTTTGCTCCGGACGAACGGGCATCCATGGCGGCAATGGTAGCAGAGGAGTGAACGGGAGAACAAGAGAAGGAAACAAGCAAATGGATAGACGTGGGGCGGTGTGGCAGATTGGTGTAATTTTGCAAGCCCAGAGAGGACGCGCGTGAGAAGATGCTTTTTTAGTTCCAATCCAACATTCACTTCGTGTGAGAGCAGCGTATGGAGCTGTCATTCTAGAAGGTTTGGTGAATGATGTAACTCTGTTTGAAAACCAATGAAGAGTTTTACCTGGTTTCAAAAAAACATTCGTTTGGCACTGAACAATTTTTGAAGCTGCTGAAGAAACTGTGACAAACAAAACCTTTTGCTATGACGAGTTCTACTTTCTTTTTTTTCTCGATCGGATTTTAGCCTGTTTTTCATTAAGAGGAAAGGAGTTTTTTTTAAATATTACAAGGACGATCAACGACAATGGCGAGCGGCCATCGAAGGCAATACGCCGAGCCCTAGCTACTCAAGTTACGCATGTCTGTTACATATGATCCAAATTTTGCGACTAGACCGTGCACGGTAAAGCTATCGTCATACTAGTCGGCGCGAACGGTCCGAAAGGCCCGCTACTTCCTGAGTGGGAAAAGCACCTCCATTGCCTCCCGCTTCGATGGCGTGAGCGGTAGAGTGAAGGCCTCCTGAAATTCCTAGAAAGATGCTTTGTTAGTTAGTTGCGTCTCTACCTCAATGCCCAGGCGTTTCATCATAACCTTCCTTGCCTGCGCTTCCGGCTTTGGCTCCCGGAACTTACTCTTCGCAGCAAGACAAGCACTCCGCTTGGGGATGAGCTCCTCGTCGTCGATCGGCTTCGGCACCACCTTTGGCGCTGGAGCGTCAAGGCCTACCGCATCGTCGAGCTCGGAACCCACGGCAGCATCCACCGGGGACGGGAAGGAAGTCCCGGCCTGGTCAAGAGTGGATAGCCTGGGCGAACTTTGGCCGGAGCCACAATCATCCGATTGTGGTTGCACGATCGGTGTCGGCACGCTGTCTGCATCAATGCCGGGCGATGAACAGGTGGCCAGGCCGATTGGGCGCGAGAGTGGAGGCACAACCGACGACCGAGCAGCAAGCTCTGCCTCCAGCATCATCAGGTCTGGCGCGGACTCAACGCAGTACGTGCAGTCAGTCACGACGAGCTCGGTCCCATCGGCACCACTGAAGTCGTGCCCGTCTCCAGCATCGTCGACAAAACCGTGGCGGGGTGATGTGGATCGACCCTGGTAGGCGCGATGGATCCAGGCATTGACGCTGGCCGTGCCCTCGAGATGCGGTACACCGAGGAAAGGTGCGCCCGAACCTCCACCAGCAAGACGGCAGCCTGATTCCCACCAACGAGCGCGACAAGAACAAGGGAGAGGTCCGCTTCAGCCATAGCGAGCTCCGCGTTCCTCGAGATGACGAAGACCTCGATTATGGGACGGCTATCAGCGTCACACAGGGGTGGTGATGGCGGCAGCGTGCTGTTGTGGTGCTGCAGCGGCGACGATGGCGGCGTGGGTAATTGCTGCACGCGAGGAGGTGACGATGGAGCTGGATCTTGGTTCGGCAGAACGCGACATTCCGGCGAGCCGCCGCCTATGTTCGGCGAGGCTGACGCGTAATCCCATCCTTCTCTCAGAGGAAGCAATATAATGCACGATATTCACAGGAAGTGTGACCAGCCCCCGTTCATAAATTATAAGAGGAGGAGGTTAACAAGCAGAACACGACCAGCCCTAGACTACGACGACGTGGGTGATGCTGCCAGGTAAGCATCCAGGTTCTTGTTGTCGCTTCGGGACAGGAACATGATGCAGATCGGCGGGCGCGCCTTGAGCATCGCGAGCATGGACTGCAGCAGCGCGCCGACAGCGTCCCCGCAGATGAGTCCGGCGGCCACCGCCATGGACTGCGCGCGCGCGCCGTCGGCATCGAGCCTCCTCCACAGGTACATGACGACGCTCCCAAAGAACATGCCGATGGGTATCCTGGGCGGCAGGAAGAACCCGACTGCCACGGCGATGGTGCACGGGAGGTACCGCCCGACGCGCCACCCCCTCCGCGCGGACACCTCGCGGAGCACGCTGTTGGCCAGCGCCACGGCGAAGGCGATCTTGCAGAGCAGCAGGCTCTGCCTGGGAAACCCGGCCTGGTCAGACATGGCGATCATGGCCATTTCACGGTACATCTTGGCGTACGGGGGAACGACGACCTCGCCCCAGTCGTGGTACCCCCCGTACAGCACCCAGAAGATGATCGGGTTGACCAGGCAGCCGAGCGCCGTCCCCGCGACCTGGCTGATGAGCACGGCGTGCGGCGAGGTGAGGGTGAGGTAGCCCGTCCTGAACACCTGCATGAGGTCGCTGGCGGTGGAGGCGGCGGACATGACGATGATGCCCACGGCGAGCCCGGCGACCACGCCACCGTTCTCGAGCCCCACCCACGAGCCGAGGAGGAACAGGGCGATCCTGCCGTACGTGGACGCCACGCTCACGTCCGTCACGCCGACGCCGTACGCGTTGCAGAACGTGAACAGCGGCACGACGAGGTAGGCGATGGCCACGTGCGCGGGCCTCAGCTGCGGGTAGAGGTAGGGTACGACGGCAATGGAGACGACCGACAGGGTGACGTAGCCGACGGCGGCTGCCGGGTCGTACACCCGGTCGCGGAGGAACACCTGCGCCCGCCGCCGGTCGTCGAAGCTCCGCGCCGGCGGCCGGTCGTCCACGCCGAGGCACATGAACGGCTGCGTGGCCAGCTGGGAGTGCCGCCGCTTGCGCATCGCGCGGAGCGTCCGGAGCAGGATGCAGAGCAGGTGGAAGGCGCCGTCGGCGAGGACCATGGATATCCCGATGATGCCCTGCATGAACTCGATGTACGGCAACAGGATCCCGTATGATATCACGGACCCCACGAGCATGGAGATGGTGATCGTGCACGGGCTTAACAGCCCGACGCCGATGTTGGTCATCGAGAAGTCGAAGTAGAACCTGAAACGAACGTTGCATCGAGATTACGATTTACGAGTCGTCGTAAGTATGCAATCCATCTTAATTTAAGTAGATGATTGCTTCATGGCGTTCTTGTTTAATTCATGCGTGTCTTATACGCACCCACGTTCAGCTGCTGTAAGGCCAAAGATTGGGAACGACTGGAAGCCGCAGCCCTCGCCGCCGGCGAAGAACCACTGCCAGAGCTGCCAGCCCACGGTTCCGGCGAAGGTTTTGAACATGACCGAGACCTGCTTGCTATATATAGTAGCGTGGAAAAAAAGGGAAAATTTTGTGAGACGCATTGCATATATGGTAATTTGGTCGATCGACGCCCAATTGTCACGTAGGATTAATTACCTTGCTTGTTTGGCGCCGTGCGGCGTGTGCATGCTGTTGATGAGGTGCGCCGTGGCGGTGCCCGTCGGGAACGTGAGGTGGTGCCGGATGACGAGGCTGTTCCTGAAGGGCATGATGGCGAATATGCCGACGAAGCTGGTGAGGAAGAGGAACGCGACCAGCCGGCCGATGCGGGGCTCGTCGACGTTCTTGGCGCCGCCGTAGGCGGCGTCGTCCTCGGCCACGTTCCTGCTCATCGCCAGGAGGTAGGACCCGAAGCCACCGCTGTAGGCGATGTTGGAGCAGGCGACGACGAAGGTCTGGATCACGGTGTTCTCCTGGCGGGTGAAGGGGAGCTGCAGCACCTCGCAGCCGTCCAGCAGGCGCGTCCACATGCGGGAGAGGAAGAAGCCCAGCAGCCCCGCGGGGATGGTGAGGAACGGCATGTACCCGGAGGTGAGGCTCAGCTTGATGGCCACGACGCTGAGCGTGGTGCCGAGCACGACGCCCACGGCCACCGACCGCGCCGTGAACATCTCCGACGGCGTCGGCACCGGCTCCCCCTCGAACACCTTCTCCACCGACGGCCCGGCGGCGGCATCCTGCTCCTGCAGCTGGTCGTCGTCGTTGTCGTAGGCCGGAGGCTCCATTGTACGCGCGCGCGGCGAACGCTAGCTCACGCCGAGCTAGCGCTTGCTAACGTTTGCCGCGCGCGTTCTGGTGGCCGTGGGCGATCGGGTGTGGTTGCTTCCGGAAATGAAATGTGAGCTCAGGAGGGCTTTTTATGGAGGTGGAAGAGGGAGATCGTTCGGCTGGTTTCCAGTTTGGAGCGCGTGACAGTTAGCACTTTTTTTTAAAAGAAGAACGTGCCATTTTCGCGCGTGTTGTTGTGACGGCGGTAAAGTGGGTCCGTTGTATGCCATGCTGGAACAGGCGACGGAAAGGGCTATCTTCGGTCGTCCAGTTGGTTTCTTCCTCTGAATAACTCGCCCGGAAATGCTTGCTGTAGGACGTCTGTCCAACCGGGACGCCGGCTTTCCGGAGCTGCCGACGCTCCCGCTGGTGGTTTAGCGACGATAAACGGTCCAACACTCATATCCGCTCGTCCACCCCCCCAATCGAATCCACTCGTCTAGCCCACCGTAGCGCTGCGACTACGTGCGACTACACTCCACGGCTCCACCGTGCCCGTGTCGCTTTGGTGTTTCTCCATGGCGTCTGGGCACCCATCGCCCATCTCACCCGCCCTCTGTGTCACCACCGCTCTCGTGCAGCCCCCACCTCTCCCTCTGTGCACCGCCACCCAGCTCCACGCCCACGCCACGACTAGGCTCCACCTCGATCGTGCCACCTTGGCATTCTCCAAGGTGTCCGGGTGCCCGCCGGTCATCCCACCCACCCTCTACATCGTCTGTCGCGCCACCCCCACCTTGCCCTCTAGGTGCTACCGTCCAGCTCCGTGCCACCAGCGAGCTCTACAACGGTGAACTCCACACGCCAACGAGCCTCCATTCTCCCAAACAGCAAGGAGATGTTGCGCTAAAAGCGCTTGTTGCAAACGTATGTTTCAAGTGTTTTAAATGTTTTCAGATGTATGTTGCAAGTGTTTTCATATAGAGGTTGTAAAAGTAGATATTGATGGTGCATATGTTGCAATGGCTATACATGCCTACTTTAAGTGTATGTTCCAAATGTTTCATTTATTTCAGATGTATGTTGCAAATATTTTATCTGGGTGTTGCAAAAATAGATCTGGATGTTGCAATGGCCACACGCGTATGTTGCAAGTGTATGTTCCAAATGTTTAATCTGTTTTCAGACGTATGTTGCAATTGTTTCATCTGGATGCTGTAAAAGTAAATCTGTATATTGCATATGTTGTAATGGCTATGTTGCAAGTGTATGTTGCAAATGTTTCATCTGTTTCAGACATATGTTGCAATTATTTTATCTGGTGTTGCAAATGTAGCTCTGGATGTTGCATATGTTGCAAGTATATGTTCCAAATGTTTCATCTTGGTGTTACAAAAGTAGATCTGAATGTAGGTATGGAGGAAGCCCAAGCCCTTGGTATGTTGCTGCCTGGAAAATGTGGCGGCTGCTGGTCTACCGCGATGGACGACCAGAGGAAGTGGGCGGAGGGGACCTCCGACGATGACGATATGGTCTCCAGCAGGTGGAGGTTGGACTCCCGTGGGGGCGTGATAGGCATGGTCACTATGGGAACGGAGCTTTGTTGTGTGCCTAGGGCACACGGTAAAGCCACAAATACACTCGGCAAAGGGTTTGCCAAGTGTAACACTCGGTAAAGAGCACTCGGCAAAAATTTCATCGGCAAACTAACTTTGGCGAGTGTTTTTTGTCGGACACTCGGCGAAGACTTTGCCGAGTGCCCCAAAACACTCGAGAAACATTTTTTGAAAAAAAAAAAAAACATCAGCCGCTCCGGCGCTGGCCCGCCACCGCCGCTTGTTGGATCCACCAACGCCCTAGATCCGCCACCGGGGGGGGCGCCGGCGCCCTGGATCATCCACCGCCGGAGGAAGGAGGCACCGCTCTGGATCTGCCACCGGGAGCTCTAGATCCACCGGGAGGAGGAAGGAGCCACCGCCTGGATCCACCACCGGAGCTCTAGATCCACACTGGAGGGGCGGCGCCTGGGGGGAAGGGAGAGAGGAGAGAGATCCGAGGCTGGGGCGGCCGGGGGGCTGCCTGGGGGGCTGGGAGGCAGCCGAGGACCCTCCTTGCTGGGGGCACCTGCAAGGGGCTCCTCGTCATGGGTGGGGCTCCTCACCAGGGCACTCTCCGCTGGGGCTCCTCCTCACTGAAGTTGGGCCTCCTCCTTGCCAGGGTGCCCACCGCCGCTGTGGGGGCAGAGAGGGTGAGCGCCACCGCTGTGGAGGGAGAGAGGGCAAGCGCCGCCGCTGTGGGGAGGGAGTGGAGGCTGCGCGCTGCTCGGTGTGGGAGAGGAAGTGAGCGCGCTCGATCCGGGTTGGAGAGGGAGGAGGAGGGGGTCGCGCCGGAGCGGGAGCAGGGGAGGGCGCCGAGGAGGAGGAGGAGGGAGAGGGAGCAGGAGAGGGCGCCGGAGGAGGACGAGGGAGAGGGGCGTGGGGTGACGGAGGGCGCGGTGTGCGGGGTGATCGAGGGGGCGGTGTGCGGCTTTTATTTCTAGGATTTTTTTTGTTGAGTGTGTAGATCTAGCACTCGGCAAAGTTTTTTTTTTCTTCTCCTTTTTTCAGAAAAAAGATTTTATATTTCTTTACGAGTGTTGCAGATCTAGCACTCGACAAAGATTTTTTTTTTTTTTCTTCTCCTTTTTTCCGAAAAAAAATTTTTTATATTTTTTGCCGAGTGTCGTAAATCTAGCACTCGGCAATGATTTTTTTATTTTTTTTCTTCTCTTTTTCCAGAAATAATATTTTATTTCTTTGCCAAGTGTTTTTTTGATACTCGGCAAACCTGTTCTTTGCCGAGTGTTTTTTTTTATACTCGGCAAACCCTCTATTTTGCCGAGTGTTTTTAGCGCAGCACTCGGCAAATCACTTATTCGCCGAATGCCCGAGGAAATACACTCGGCAAACATAAAAACACTTGGCAAAGAGCAAGATTCCGGTAGTGGGTAGATGCCTCGGTGAGGCCCGCGGACACGGAGAAGGCCGGCTGTTGCAGCTCCCTGGCGTATGGGCCGATGGCGAAGATGGAGGCCGCAGACGCGGGAGCGGCGGGGACGAGATGCTGCGACTGACACGGGCGCGGCAGGGATAGGACCTCGCTGGCGCAGCCAAGGGCCGAACAGTAACGGGCATGGTGGATCGGGCGAGATGGGCGCGAGAGCTGCATCCGGACACGGGTATTTGTTCGAACGTTCTGAGTGCTAGCTGCTCTAACTCACTAGTTTCACGGTTTGGTTTTAACCAACGAGCTGACAAAACGATCAGAACTTTTTTTCTTCACAAAACGTATTTCATACGCTAATCACATCCACAGACGTTTCTTTTTTTCAAAATTATTAGCCGAAAATACATAGCCCTATATACATATCCCGCATAACCTCCGGCCGATTTAGGAACTCAGGCATTACAGGTGAAATGTTTATCTGGTGAAACATTTTGCTCTTCACCCGTTTAGCACTCTTTTAAGCGCTTCTCGAAAGAATCGGAACCGATTTGGCCAACCAAACAACCCCTAAGTTGAAATCTCAAAGGTCTAAACCGAAGTCAACAGAGAGTCTGACACAACAAAACTAACCATAACAATGACAAAAATTGAAAAGAAAGAAGGAGCAAACCATATCTTACTTTTTCCCCACACGTCAAGAAACAATAAAATTATGCTTTGTCCATAAGCAACTATCCATAAACATATCTTTGTTTTGTTGAGAGACGACATATCCAATTTAAATATATATATTATTATATATATGTATATATATAATGTAAAATTGCTGCTACAGGACTTATTTATAATTATAGTTTTATATACAAATAATATGTTAACATATTTATTATGGGATTAAAGTTTATTCACGAAATGAAAGAAGACTTGCTGATTTTAAACAGAGGAAGTAGATTCCTGAACTTTCTTATAGATCGCTGCGCTAGCTCTAGGGCTGGACAAAATACACGACTCGTGGCCGGCTCAGCTCGGCTCAACTCGGCTCGTTTTAACTTTTTCACGAGTTGAGCTAGAAGTCTAGCTCGCTATTTTAACGAGCCAGCTCGCGAGCTGTTCATGAACTAAGGCCTATCAGCCCACGACCATGAATCCAGAAGATGATAATGCTGACCTAGAAGTGTACATCTATTCTATTGATATGTAATCCTTATTTTCAGCTGTTTCATATGAATTTTAATTTTATAATTATTGTGGTAATTAAATGTTGATTTTATAGATTGTTTTTCAGGGAGAAGATGATGATGCTGATATTGAATCTGTGGACTTTTCTAAGTTTATGGTGGCAAGCGACTAGTTACTATGTTGGAACTGCATGATCATGGATGGACCAGCTATGTTGCATGGTTGATATTTTTGATAAACCTAATATGTATTAATCATGTATGATTACATAACGATAAAAGTCATCTTCTAAAATTAATATAGCATAAATATTATAAATATATGTGTTCTATTTTTTCAGTTAGCTCGTGAGCTAAACGAGCCGGCCCAGCCCGAGCTAGCTCTCATCCTCTGAATGGTTTTGACTTGGCCCGACTGCCCTCCCGCGGGCCAGCAACACACACCAGAGCGCCGCACGCGTCAGCACGTGTCCTCTTCCGGAGCTTGCACCGCGACGTGTCTCCGGACGTGTCACCTCCCCTCGTCTCGTCAGCTCCACCTCCTTGGCTCCTTTATAACAACGCAGGGTCTCCGCCTTGCAAGCTCATGATCCTGAGGTCCATCCACAATCGGTAGTTCGTTGATCCAATCCAAGACCTCGCCTCAACGCACTGTCTCGCCGGTTATTAGTCGTCGACGTCGTCGTCTATGTCCAAGTTGATGGCCGCCATGCTGCTCGGGGGCGCGCGCGTCGCCGGCGCCGCCAAGCTCACCGGCAACACTGCCGTTAAGCAGGCTCTCCCCACGCCGGCGTGCTTCCTTCCTCCGCGCCCGCAGCCGGCAAGCTGGACCCGCCTCTGCTTGCAGGCTGCGCCAAGATCGTCCCAGGTATGCTCACTGCTGCGTCACCGCTGGCACGCCGCTGTCGCTTCTGCGATCGAGTTCGTCGGAGGTAGACACTGACGCGCATCCACGTTCTGTTGTTTCTCAGGCGTACGACAACGCGCCGGAGGACCGAAGGGAGATCAAGGACAAGTACAAGGACGCGGCGGAGAAGGCGAAGGACGCCACCGGCGATGCCAAGGAGCACGCCAATAGGATGGCCGGGGAGGCGAAGGACAGGGCACAGGACAAGGCCGGCCGCATGGCGGAACAGGCGTCGGACACTGCGGAGAGGGCCAAGGAGAAGACGAAGGGCATGGCGGAGGGCGCCGCGGAGACGGCGTCCCGGGCGGCGGAGAGGGCGAAGCACGAGACGCGTGACGCGGCGCGGGAGGCCGCGGACAGGGCGGGGCACGTGAAGGAGCGGGCCAAGGAGGTGGGGCACGAGGCTGCGCACCGGGCGCAGGAGACGGCGAGGGCGGCCAAGGACCGAACGGGTGAGGCGGCGGAGCGGGCCAAGGAGATGGGGCGCGAGGACGCGGGCCGGGCGCAGGAGACGGCGAGGGCAGCCAAGGACCACACGGGTGAGGCGGCGGAGCGGGCCGTGGAGGGCACCGTGTCGACCGGGGAGAAAGTGGTGGAGATGACCAAGGAGGGCGCCGGGAAGGTGGCCGAGACGGCGCAGGCGATCGGGGACATGACGAATCAGGCGGCGCGGAGGACCTGGGACTCGGCCAAGGAGGCCGCGCATAGCGTCAAGGACAGCGTGGCCCCCGACGAGGAGGACGTGGACGCCGCCATAAAGGAGCGGGACAGGATCGCGCGGGAGATGGACAGGGTGGAGCGGGAGCGGAACAAGAGGGAGGCCAGGGAGAAGGGCTCCGGCTTGCCGTAGATCAGCACCAATTTCCCTCTCCGGATGAATTTTACTCCACTAGCTGGCAGAATAATGTTTGGCGAAACATCATGCATGCGCCAGTTTCGTTGTAGTGTTGAACCGTGTCGAGTCGAATGGAAGCTCTGTAATTTGAGGCATATGATTTGCTGATACTGGCATACTAGCATCGCTGTTTACTGGAGTAGCTCATAAGCAGGGACTGTCCCATGAGAAATCTTGAGCACCGCATCTCAACACCTGGAACTATTATGCGTTTGAAGGTACTCCCTCCGTGGAGTACCGTCCCATAATAAGGGCAAAATTTTATCCCAAAATAAGCATACCTTTAAACATAATTTCTATTTTCTTTCTTTTCGAGGTCCAATGATTACATTTTTATAGGGACATATACGTAATTTTTCATTAACCTTGATCTCTTTACCTAAACTTTTGAAGTGCACTTACGTAGTTTCTCATTAACCTTGATCTTTTTACCTGAACTCTTAAAGTTCACTTATCTTGAGACGGAAGACGGAGGGAGTACTATGCTACTCCCTGTATCAAACCATAACTAGCTAGGTCATCCTAGCTTGTCTCAAAACTTCTCTATAGCTGTTAGCTGACCTTCGTCTCAAATTCATCTTAACAAGATTATGCTGATATCTATATATTTCGTCAAACATAGACCTGGGAATTTTTGTTTCAAGGATGCTAACAAAAAGAGAGCGGTTTTGCGCAACACGCGTAGTACAAAGAATCAACAAATTGTATCTGTTTTTTTCAATAGCTACACAGCAAAAATGTTTCCACGGCAAATTACCGAACATATGTACTGGAAAGAATCAGCAATTCTTGATTTGCAGTGTTTGGTTATGTATCGATCAGGCAACTTCTGTCCACCTGGGGCATCCAACGGTGGAGCACAGTTAGCTCCCTCTGTCGAACAAACGACCTGGCGGCGCGTCCCCCCTCCCCCTATTACTTCGCTTCATTTTCTTTCAGTTGCATCACTTGACTCCTCAAGCTGCTCTCCCTCATCTATGCAATTGGAATTTGTTATTGTATCAGAGTTGGATATTTTGTGGCAAAGTCAGAGCAGATGCCAGACAGGGAAAGTGATATGCTGATTGAAGTGAGATGATTGTTAATTTAGATCCATACCTGTAGGTTCTGTACTTGGTATAGGAGATTACCACACTCCTCTATTAAGGTTCTCTCAGTAGCAATAACTTGGGCAAGATTACATGCCACATCGTCGATTTGTTGGACCTACATGGCAAATTGGCAATAATTTTTTTGGTTGCATAAACAAGGACTTACTACACGACGAGATAGTTTTTTCGTTGCATAGGTACACCAAATCAAATGAGAACACCACATTCACCACAATAACTGAATCTATCTAAAATTTGCAAATTTATAAACACTTCATCAATTTTAGTTAAAGCAAGAAGCGATGATAAGTATATGACTTAAAAAGGAACCACTACTACATTAGGAACTAAGTTCCATTAAATTTGCTATTATCTTCACCCTATCTGATTTTGATTTATATATAGCTTAAAAAGATATTCTTACTATACTTCATCTAAAACTATATCTGACGCCGTCAATTTACGGATATATTTTAACGATTTCAGTTATTGAACATGGACCAAAAGCATCTAAAGAAAGCTAGGCATCACACAGCTTTGGTAGTTATGCTTTTCAAAATTGCCTGTAATCTCACCTTTGGCAGGAAATTTTCGATACAAGGTGAAAGCGGTTCAAGAAATTGTGTTGCTGACTTGAGGACTTCTGTAAGTTCCTCGCAGTTGGCCTGCAAGCATATCAATTTACAACATGATACATGGTCCTATGCACAAAATGATGTGTAATGAAGTATTGAAGTCCTACATTTACACTCCCAATGATTGGTAGCCTTAACGAGGCGTTATATAGTGCTGTTGTTGCCCCTCTAAGGCAGCTTGCATGGCCCCCCTCAACGTCACTCCACTGCTTCAAATATGGCACCTGAAAGTTTCACATCTCGTTTTTAGAGTAATGCAAGAGAAAAGTGTTACATGTAAAATTCATATTGACCATATATATATACCCTTTGTACCATACATCTCAGCAAACAAATGTAAATCAAAGCATGATAACCACTTTGATACAAAGAATCTCACAGTCTCAATACACATAGTTTTCATGAACATATTTGTATATTCTACAGAAAAGCAAACAAGGAGAGTGCCACACAAATCATGTAATATCTTTTCTATTTTCCTTTGAAAAAGAAGAAATAATAATTAAATGGGGCAACTGGCTTAATTCTGAATACTTAACCTGTTACATGTAAAATTCACATTGACAACAGACATGGTACCTGATTTGATACAAATAAACTCACGCTGTCAAGATATACATCTTTCAAGAGCTAGACCTATATTTTTTTTTTCAATTTTATACAGGCAACAAAAAAGGAGAGTACCACACAAACTGTATCATACATTTTCCATTTTTCTGAAAAAACAAACTTCTGAATGGGAAAACTGGATATAATTCTGGAAATTTAACCCTATTCTAGATTTAAATAATGTTGTTCTACTTCTGAATTCAGTTGATATAGTAGTCAAACATATCCATTTAGTGTTATTCCTAGTGAATAGCAACTCTAAGCGAGGTTCCCCACATTAGCTTCTATCATGCATGTCAGGAAATATATTGATTCATGTGATTTATCTGACCTATCATGCATGCCAAGAAATTAATTGATTCATGTGATTTATTTGATTGAAGATTCAACAATCACGCAATTTAGTTAGCACCCATTATGAAGAAATGCACACTGAACACAACAGCAATTCAAAATTCAGAAATCACAGCTTCGCCGTACCTGCGCATTTACTACTGAACTCAATCTATGATCCCTCTGCATCCTCTCCACCTCTGCCCTCTTCTCAGCAACAGATGCCCTGAGGCTGGCAATCTTCTCCTCGAGCCCGTACAACGATTTCTATGCACTCAACGAAACCAAAAACAACAAATCATCAGCACCTTAATTCGTAGCCACCCCCTTGACGGCTGGGCCGATGCACCTCCAATAACAACCCCTTACCTCTGCAGCAGCCGCCTTGGCCTTGCCTGCGGCCTCAGCCCGGGCGTTGAGGAACCTGTACTGGAGGTACGAATTGTCCATCAGCCGCAGCTGGTGCACGTCTTCCTGCTTCCCCGCGACCTTCCTGCCCCCCACGATCGCCGCCTTCTTCAGATCAGCCGCCTTCGGCCCTTGCGGCTGTGGTGGCCTCCCTGCCGCTGTCAGCTTCCCAGCCATCGCCGTTGAGATCGACAGTGCCGAGTTGAGCGAGCGGTAGCATAGTGGGTTGGACGCCCGCGAGGACCCGCCCGACTCCGGCACCGACGAGCGGAGCTCTGACGAGAGGCGTCCCCCGCGGCAGGACGCTGGGCCCAGCAGCGGCGGGCTCTCGCACGGCGCGGCTGGGGCCATCCCGAGCGCCACATCGGCCTCAGAGAAGTCAGTGGCCGTGGACGACGTATCAGACGACGAGCAGCACGAGGCGGCGTCCGATTCCACCGCGGCGGAGGAAGGGCAGGAGGAGCCAGCACGCGCGGGCGTCGGAAGGCGCGGGTACCCTCTCGGCGCGGTGCGCGCGGCCGGCCCGCTGGTGGAGCGCGGGAGTGGCCGCGGAGTAGCTGCGGGAACGGCGGAGGAGCTGGAGCCCACAGAGGCGCGCGGATTGCCGGCGCCCGTCTCCTCGAAAAGCTACTGGACGGCCCGCCGGCGCCCGACGGTTCCCGTGGGAGGCGGCGGCGGGGGCGGGTGGTTCTCGTTGGCGAAGGGCGTGGCTGCCCGCTGCCGTCCAGCTCCGCGACGGCGTCGGGGAGCGCGACCGCGTGGAGGAGGCCGCGGAGGAGGCGGAGAGGCGCGGGGTCGAAGGGACGGGCGTCGAGATGTACCGGGAGCTGACTTCCCTTCCGCGGCGGCGCGGACGGGGCGCAGTCGGCGGCAGTACGGGCGGCGGCGGCGGCATCAGGTTCCCGCGCTCCGACGGCGTGGCGGCGGCCATGCCGGAGAGATCGGATCCGAGCGGAGAAGGAGGTGTAGCCGTCGAGGGGAAGCGGGATGGATTTTCGGGAGAGACGGGTACACGGCTAGTTTCGAGGACGGGTTTACGCGGGAGATTTAACTTTTTTATCATGATAAGCAATGACAGATCCTCATGTAGCATCTTAATAGTTGCTACTACATTTTCACCAGTGACGAGAGAAAATAGCTACGAATTTATCACTTTTGCTCGCGTGGCACGTCAGCTACTCGTGCCAGCGTGAATTCAAGTCAGCAGGACGCGTGAAATGTCCCTCGTGTCCTTCTCCTCTCCAGCATTTTGTCGAACACCCTCAGGGCCTCTCGCTTGCAGTCGGCCAGGAGCTCCACCCTCTTCCTTGAGCACGCCCCGCGCATCATCTCCACGAGGAGGTCCATGGCGTCGAGCCCTCTCCGGCACTTCTGTTTGCCCATTCGCGTCAACAGGGGCAGCTGTGGCCGGTGTCATTGAGGAACGCAAGCTGCTCCTGTAGCTAGAGCTCGTCGATGCCGTCGCGCTCCCCCACCTCGTGGAGTTCAACGCCTACAACAACCAGCTTTCCGGGCGGGTGCCCGACGCCATGTGCGCCACGTTCAGCCTTGCCTCCTTCGCCGGCAACGCTAGCCTTCGGAGGTCGGCGAGGTCTGCAAAACTGCGACCAAGCGCCAGAGCGCGTACTCGTGCGCGTAGAAGGAGCCGCGAGTGACGCGCACGCCGCGGACGGGCCCAGGGTGTGTGGCCACGCAGCACGCTAGCGCGCGCACGACGGGGACGTCGGAGGTCCCGCCTGCGCCGAGGAGGTGCGCGTCGTCGACGAGCAGCGAGTCCCGCCCCACACATGGCGCTAGTTCATGGCTAGCGCCGTCGCAGACGCCCGGACTCAAGTCGGAGGAGGTGAGCGAGAAGCGGTCGTCATCGGACACGAGGAACAGGACGATGCCGTCGATGCGCTCCACCAGGTGCATGGCGTACATGGTGAGGCAGCGGCGCGCGATGCCCCATGAGGCCTCCATCAGGTTGAGCAGCTTGGGGATTTGGTCGTTGACAAGACATACATGGCGCTGCGCATGGAGTTCTACGGCGGCCGGACAACGCCGACGTACTGGCAGCACACGGCCCTGATGGCGCAGCCGGAGAACGCCACGGAGTGGTGCGAGCTGCCGATGTCGTGTGCGCAGCGCGTGCAGCCTGTGCGTCCCCGGGAAGGCCGAGTGCCAGTGCCTCAACAATAGCACCAGAGCCTCCTCCCCGCCGTGCCACGAACATGTAGAGGAGACCGTTCGATTGTGCGCCGGCGACGGGCAGCAGTTGGGCTTCGACGTGTTGCGGGGCAGTACACGAGCAGGGACTTGAATTATTCGTTGCGGACGATTCTGTGGAAGAGTCCGAGCTCGCGGAGGTCGGCGAGGTCCGCGACCAAGCGCTCGCGGAGGTCGTCACTGTCAGTGTCCATGGCTGTGGGGGCGGACGACGGACGGCGAGGGTCAGGTTGCGCGGGTCGAGGCCCTCTCTCGTGGCCCGCTCGACAGTCTGCACGTGCACGTGGTGGTTGGAGTCGCCGAGGCACGAGGAGCAGCCGGCGCGCAGCGAGGCCCCGTGGCCAGGGAGATGAGCGGTGGATAGGTTGAGCGGGTCGTGCTGGAGGAGCAGGAAGAAGGGAGGGTAGGAGGGACATTTCACACTTCCAGCTGACTCGAATCCACGATGGTATGAGGAGTTGGCATGCCACACGAGCAAAAGTGGTAAATTTATAGCTGTTTTCTCTCATCGCTGGGTGAAAATGCAGTGACAACCGTTAACATTCTATCTGAGGAGGTGCCATTGGTTATAATGGTAAAAAGTTATATCTCCCGGTTTATGCGGCCGGGCGAAGAGGGGCTTAACGGTACCCACGGGAAATGGGGGAGGACCAAATGTTTCGCTACCGTCGCGGCTGTGTCAATGTGGGGCCACCTCGTGCGGTGGGCTATACACGTTCCGCGCCGCGCTCGGAGAAGAGGGGGACGGCGGAGGCAGTGGGAGGAGGGAGACGTGCGCGTCGCGGCAAGCGGAGGGCGGAGTCCGGTGCGGCAGCAGGACAGACGGAGGGGATGAGTGGGTTCGCGAATCCCGATCATTCCGCGCCGCCGGGTCCAAAAGAGAACAAGAAAGGCAGACTCCTTCTTACGAAGCAAATGGACAATTCAAGTAGAGGCTTTTACGTGTGTATTATTATGAAAATGTGTAATTACCCACGAGCCATTAAAAAGTTAGAATAGTTATAGGTGCCACTGGTCGGAACTTTTTTTTTCCTTCCACACCATTCCATCCACGTTAGATGCTAATGGTGTCAAACGGAGCTACGAAAAGACTTAAATCCCCCTTAGACTAGAGAAACAAGCTGAAGTTTCATTTTTTTCCGTGCCATTTCATGGATGAGTGTTTTGACGCCAATATGACTATGGAGGAGGAGGGCCTTTTCAGTCGGACGAGGAGCGTCGTGACCATCATCCTCGAAAGCAAGTACTTGTACTTACCAGATAAAGCATAAGGCATCACAACAATAAATTGTAGCTAAGGGACAAAAATGAGAAATACATCACAAATTTTTTTAGTGTTTACTTAAATAGTGTTAGCAGGAAGCTATAGCTACTAACCAGAATGCATAAGCATTCACGTATTTGCCCTATAAAGAAAAGAGGTAGGATGCATGAACTAATTATCTACGTACGTGAGGTGTGCCAGAAGAAATAGGCTAGCAAGTTGCATGTGTGTATCATGTACGTATATATAGGTATGCGACAAGCTAATAGAAGTATGTACACGTATATGCAAGTAGCAGTAAGCTTCTTCAGTCACCAGGAAGGCGTACGTGCACTTGTGCAAGCAGGCCGGCCAGCCGTAGAGATGACGCGTTCGTCAACAACTTCTTCATCATCAATGCAACAGCTCCTTAAATTCAAAAAAAATGCAACAGCTCCTTCGCCCATAACGCCCGAAGCGTCCATGATCATCGAACACGTCGCGTTATGTGACAAAAAGGAGCCGAGTCTGTGACGACCAAAGCCACATCTGGAGGGCAGCTAGCGCTGCACAGGCCGGCGAGAAGGGGCACTGACCGGCACCGCGCCGCCCGCTACAAAGGAGGCGTCCGCTGTGAGTACCGAGTATGTAAAACCAGCATCCATGACGCCGAAGAGATCGAAGTCGCTAGCCGAAAGCAGCACCAGAAGCGGCATTTGCGCACCGTGGCGGTGGAGCAGCCGAGGCTGCGCAGCGTGCAGAAGCGGCCGTGGGGCTCCCGCTCTCCGCATCCTTGAAGATGGCACGCCGCCTCGTCAGCGACTCCAGCATCAGTGCATCACCACTCCAACGAACGCGATCCAAGCCTTGGACACGCGCCTACTCGATGACGACGCCGACAGCGGAGGCTGACAAATGGGGGTAGGGAAGGGTGTCCACGGCGAATCGTCACCGAGGGCATCGCGCACATCCCACCGGAGCGCCCACAGAACTGCTGTGACTGTGCCATGAAGCCGCATCTGCGCACGCACGGCAGGTGTTGTCGCCGCGGACGCAGACGCCGGGGCTGATTCTCTCGGCAAAGGCACCAGCGCGGCCACGGAGGTCCTGCGGCACCACGGTTAAGGCGTTCTCCGAGCAGGAGCCCGAGCAGAGCATGGCATCGGAGCCGAGGACGACGTAGGCGCCCCCCCGCGGCGAGGTACGGTGCAGCAGTCATGGGAGCCGGTGACGACGCGGGAGCTGGTGTCCAGTGAAGCCGTGGAAGAAGACGACCTTGAAGCCACGCGCCCGCACCGCCCTGCGTGACTCGGCTGCCCGCCGCCCGCTACAGAGGAGTCGCCGGGCTCTACAGCTGCCGCTCCCGACGAGGACCTGCACAGAGGATAGGGTTGCCGGGGGCATTCTGGACATTTTAACTAGCCGGACCCACATGCCAGGATGATCAACCGTTGAAAACTAACAGAATGTGACAGGAATAGCATCGAGGATAAAAAAGTTCCAACCAGTGGTACTTGTAACCACTCAAACTTTTTAATGACATATGAGTAATTACAAACTTTTATATAATAGCATAAGGTAAAAGCCTCATTCAAGTAGTAGTAGTAGTTGTACACAATAGTCCCTTGCGGTTAAATTAAAGCCTGGCTCAAGTCCTCAAGTGCTCGACTAATCTTGCTGACGCGACGCCGAGAACAGAACAGGAACTCTCAAACCAGGCTGACTTCGACCGATCGGCACGAAGCAAAATCAACAGGATGGTAAGGAAATAACACATACATACAATAACAAAACACACTGATCTCAGTTGGCTCATTGCAAAAGCAATGCTCTAAGCAAGAATATACTTACAAATGGCCACATTTCACCAGTACCTTAGCAAACACCAAAAATCTGGTCTAACAAAATCAAGGAGGGTGACAAAAAAAGAATCTTTGCTGCACAAGGGGAAAAAAAAGGTTAATACACCACCCTAGCGGTGTGCCAGCTAAAACTTCCAGCCACACTTTGGCATTGTACAACTACACGGGAGATAGATTCCTACAACAACCGAAGCCATCATCAACTTGTGAACAAAAACAAGAGTGCCGATATCCTCTTTGCCATTTGCCACATTCATCCTTTTACGGTCAGTGTGGTTTGTATCAGACAGCCATGAACAGATCCAGTGCAGTTCCAGCAATCAGACATAAGAAGTCATGCGCACCTGCATCATGTTCGAGTGCGGGATGCTCATCAACATGATCGCCCGGCGGCAGTTGTTCCTCAGGAACGCGAAGAAATAGTTTATCATCAGCTTCTTGAAGAACCACGAATCCTTCCTAGCCTTGATGATGGGGTTGTCGATGAGGTAGACGGCCCCAGACCGCTTGGACTGCTTGATGAACGCCAGCTCCAGTTCAAGGTTCTGGGCATAATCCAGTACAGGATCATGCTGAGGCGTGGAGCAGCTGGCTTCAGGAATGAGCTCTGTTGAAGGC